CGAATTTTCTCGCCGTCGTACTCCGTCGTCGACCATCCGATCGCCGCGAAATAAATTTCCATCGTCGCGAGCCACCGCCTGACGTCGGATTTTCGATCGCTAGGGTCGAACGATTCCGGCGAGCGAAGTTTCGGAACCTCGAACTGACGCTGCGACTGCTGCGAAGTCGTCGAAGCAGGAATGTTCATAGTCGAGAGGAGTTGCGTAACGCGCTGCAGTTCGTTTCGCATCTGCTCGTTCTCCAATCGCGACCGTTCAGTCATCGCTCGCATCTCCGCTTCCATCTTGGCGGTTTGCGCGAAGAGCTGCTGCGTAACGTCGTTGGTCGCGGTGAAACCATCCTGTTCAGAAACCACGCGAGGGGGTTAATTCGAAAAGCGCGGAACTGGTGCTTACCAGAAATCGGCGTCGAATTGGTCGCCCCCGGCGGTTTTTCGAGGCGATTTTTTCCGCGACCGCTGCTTAGCCGAGAGTTGTCGAGTGAGAACGGCTCTGATTACCAAGTGTCACAGGATCGAATTCTCAATCGAAACTTGTCACTAAAACTGAATACAAGGCATTTTTATACTCGGAGAATACAAGGATAATCGAGATAAAATGAACCTTCGGAAACACGCCCTTCCCGATACTATAATCACAAGTGCGCACAAGCACGCAAGGCTATTGGCACTTGGGATTACGCCCAGATTACACCGTATACACTACTGTCGGCGCTGTCGGTGCCGTATAATAGGTATGTCGGTGGGAAAAGTAGGAAATAAGAGAAATAAATAGAAGGCTCTAGAAAATAGAATAGTAGGCCGATTGAGATGAGATAAAGACCAAAATAAAGAGGAGAAAAGGGAGAATAGGATAACGGAAAAATATAATAGTGAGAAAATATTATAACGGGGACGTCCTCTCACAGCTGTACTGCTTCTACAGTGCTGCCAGGTCACTCGGTACGTCGGCTAGCAGTTTTTGTAAATCCCCTCCTTTGTCTGCTGCATTGGTTTCCCGAATGTCGACCGCGTACACGTCAGCTCCTGCCGCTACGGCGCGTTTCATTGTGATCGCGTTGACACGCACCGACGAAGACTCAGGTGAGCCCCAGCGAGGTAAGACGATGTTGTTACTGTTCACTCGCACGGTGCAGTCGCCCGTCGCCCAGTCGATTCGCGGGTTGTGTCGTCGCAACCAATCACGCCCGAGTAAAATATCGATTCCATTGAGGGTCGTTGCGAGCATTTCCTGGCTAAACGTGAAGTTACCCCCACATCGGATCCGAACCTGGTTTACGCATTCCCGTATCGCTAGCGGCGTGCCGTCTACCAGTCGTGCGTCGATCTCAGGTATACATTTGTCTAGTGGCAGTCGCAGTTTTCGTGCTGTAGCGGTGTTGATGAGGCTGTGGCTGACTCCCCCGTCTACGAAGATTTTAACTAAGTCCGTCCCAATTTTCCCACTAAGCAGTGTGGGGCTGTCTACCGTAGTCCCCTCCTTATTCGGCCGAGTGTGATCGATTGCGTGAACCGGCACAATCACTCGGTGAGGGTCGGTTGGGTCGGGCGAGCGGCGCGACCTGTCAGTAGAGGGCCCGTCTGCTACTGACTCCCAGCGTTTCCCTGCTGCTTGGTTTGTTTCTGCTGCTCAGCTTCCCCCTTCCCCTTAGCGTTCTCCGGGCATTCGCTCTTGCGATGTCCCGGCCGATTGCACGCAAAGCAGCGCCCTTTGAACGGTGCGGCAGCGGCGACGGCACGTATCGTGGCGCCCTCGTTCGTTCCACGAGGCCGATGTCCCCAATGGCTGCTTCCGTAGGACCCCGGTCTCGGTCGGCGAAAGAAATCGAGTTTCTCTGCCATAGCGAGGATTTCTTGAAAGTCGGTGACGCCGCGGAGCTGGATTTCCTGAGCGATGTCCTGCTTCAGGCCGCCGATGTAGCGGTCGATGCGCTCGCTCTCGTGCATATATCCCACCTGCTCGCATAGCGCCAGAAATCCGCTCGTGTAGTCTTGGACGGAGCCGAGTTGGCGCGAAGTGCGGAGCTTCTGCCGCGCCGCGATTGAAGCCGGGATTGGCTCGAAACGAGCGCGTACACCTGCGCACCACGCATCCCACGTGCGATACTGGGGCACCTCCACGAAATACGACGGCGCCCAGGGTCCGGTTTGTCCTTCCCGTGTCGGTAGAGTCGCGTAGTCCACCGGCTTCGTGACGATGACGCGCCACCAGTCCATGGCGGGTCCTCGCAGCAACGACACGGCGTAGCGAATTTTCGCCGTATCCTCCGAGACGTAGTTCGCGTTGAAGAAGACGTTCAACGTGAAGAGCCACGCCTGAACGGTAGGACCACCACGTTGATTTGGGTCAAAGCATGGCGGACGCTGCGGCTTTAGCGGCATCGGCGACGGAAGAGTTGATTCGCCGGCCGGCACTGAAATCGTGACTCGAGGCTGAGTCCTGGCCGCATTCGTCGTGTCGGGGTGTGTCGTGCCATGGTCGTCGTCTCCGTCATGGCGGACGACGCCATCACTTGCGGCGCTCGCGGGTTGCCCCACACTTCCGTGCTGTGATGTTTGTGGTGCGGGCTGAACCGGAGTGCGAGGTGCTTGGGATTGTGCTCGTGTGAGGTCCTTTGCAGGGCCGAGCGTTCTGCCGTCAGCGTCGCAATTTCCTCGGCGCTCTCGCGGATTTGTCGCAGCAGATCGTTCAAGTGCTCCTGCGTGAGAGTTGTGACGTCTAGGTGTTCAGCCATTTCGAAGGGCGTCGGCTCGTCTTAGTCTAGGCGCAGTCGTGGCTGCACGCGTTTACGAGAGAACGCGAGGACAGCGGCTCCTAGGTGCTAAGGTACGTGAGTCCTTTCGAGTGAGAAATCAAAAGTTGATTTCCTGAGGTGCGGAGATGCGCGGTCCGAAAGAAAGGGGACTGAATACCAAGTGTTACGGGTGCAATGAATCGAAGTAGCGAGAATTGCACTAAGGTGTCAAACGAGTACAAAATGTGAGCGAAGGCATGAGCGAACATTTATACGCGAAACATGCAAACGGTAACGCGGTGCGTGCGAGCTAGTTAGTGCTACGCTGGAGCGAGGCTTGGGCTAGTCCCGAAGCGTAGGTCGACACGGCCATGCCAGCAGTGCGAGGTTTGGTGAAAACAGTGTGCGCGAAGTCGGCGAAGCCCCGTTAGCAGTAACGGGCGAACAACGGCTGTTGCTGTACGCGATGTAGTCGGGCTCCGTAAGGAATGCCGAGAAAATTCCTTACAGCTTCCAAATTCTCGAATGGACAGGTAGACCGCCCCACTTGGCTGCCACTGCTGACGGACGGTTGGATTGGGGCCGCACGGTCAAATAAGAGAGCAACAGTCGCCGATCGATTGCTCTGACCAGTCCCTCCCTAATCGCTATCGCACGCCATACTTCTTAAGATAGTATCGGTTCCATTCGAAGGTCTTGCTCGAGAGAGATGCGGCATTCGAAGCATTTGCCAGGTCAACAAAAACCTACCGTTCCGTGCACCTGGATTGGACGTGCAAGCTTGGGAGGAATCAAGCTGGCAGCTGCAGCCAATAGCTTACGCCTTGGTCCTAAGTCCTAACAGTCGATCTGGAACAGAAACCGACACGCACACGCTTCGACAGTTGTCATGCGTGGCAGGTGTTCACGTGCATCATCGGGTCGCACCGCACGAAGGTCACTCACTCCTCCCATCGTATCCTTCTCGCATGACGCCTTGTTAGAGGAGCATCAGGGACAGTATGCTTCAAATGTACGATTTACTACTACAAAGGATGCCCGTCTGTAGCGCCACTAGGGTTTGGATTGCGAGAATGCCGGCCTCCCAGCTACAACTAGAACCAACGCAATGATTGCGTTCACTTCGTGCCCCTTCCCTCCCACTCCATTTCACCGCCGCGGCATCCTCGTCCCTCGCACATCCCTCGCACATCTGTCGCACATCCCTGCCTTCCAGCCTCCCCGCCGTCGCACACCTACTGATGCCGGGCGAGTCTCGACAGCTGACGATGACGATGACGCGTAGACCAAGGCATGTCCCGTCCCGAGCCCCGACTCCGGCGCAGAGGCAGCAATATGAAAGAGGCTCAGGCGGCTGAACCCACCCAGCCGACAATCGAGCCAAGAGCTTTGTGCATATGCTGCATGATTGCTGCTCCAGTTGGTGCAGACGGTAGCGTAGTAAGCGAGTCAGCCTGAGAGTCGCGTCGAATCTATGAGCCGGGGTTTCGAACCAAGATGGGTATAGACGTGCGACATGGCCCTTCTCACCATTATCTTTCGAGATTCGGTGCCAGCTGAATTCTGAAACGACTCGAATCCGTGCTCTCCAGCCGGTTCAGTGAGTGCTCTTAGGTGCCTGATAACACTACGACCGCTTTCAAGAACCGCGGATCATTGCCGCCATGCCGCAATCGTCTGAGGTCGTTAACCCGCCGCCTTCCCAATCCGCGTCGCTCGGCATGCCATGGTCGCACGAGGTGGGTTGCGTAGATGTTAAACTAATATTTCAAGAATTCCGGGACTTTCTTGGATTCGACATTCAATCTTGCAACTACTTCGGTGCCACTTCGTTGGGATTGAATTACCTTTCTGCGTCAGGATGTTCAATGCCTTCTGAGCCGCACCCTTGACACTCAAATGCTTCTACTAGCGTTCACAACGCCGCACTCACACTGCCATTCCTTCCGCACTCTCACGGCAGGAGGACGCGGTGCTGCTGCGCCACGCGCTGCAGTGCGGCACGAAGCAGTGGGGGGATTCGGGAAGGAGGGGTCAGCTCAAGAGGAGCAACAAGTCGTGCTGTAACCGTTACATCTTCCTCCGAAGGTAACGCCGCATGCCACATTCACGATTTCTTCAACTCCGGCGTTGTCTTGAAACGCCAGACATTTCTTGCACACCTCAGCTTCTTAACACCTCTGCTCTGCTCTCCTGTGGCCGTGCGTTGATGGCAGGAAGTTCACTAACCGCTTTCGCAACAACTTTCTGAGAAAGCATCTAGAAGATGCTGCGATCCTCCACCACGCTTCAGACGGATACAGTCAACCGATTCTTTCTCAGGGTTTCAAGTAGCAACAGCAGCAGTGGCAGCGTGCGGATGGTGTGGGTTCACCTGGCCTCGCGTTTGGAGGGTTGTCGTTTGACGAGTGCACGGCCGTCTTTTTCGCCCCCAATGCGCGCTGCCACTACCCAGCTTTTCCAGCTGGCCCAGCTGTCCCACCCAACCTCTCACCGTTCGCCAGCCCACCTCCGGCTTCCCAAGCTCCTCATTTTGCTTCTTAAGCCGCCACCTTTTCTGCTGCTGCCACTGCTGCTTCCACCTCACATCTTCTATTCGCCCGTGATGCTTACCTCGTTGTTGCTGCTGCCTCCAACGCCACTTCTCTGCGTCACCCGATGAAGCGACCACGGGACGACTGCGCCGGGCTGGGGGCAGACCAGCCGCTACTGGGTGGACGTGAGAGCCCGTTGATGCGAGGCGGGGTGATGAGAGGCGGGATGGAGCGAGGCGGGATGGAGCGAGGCGGGATGGAGCGAGGAGGGATGGAGCGAGGTGGGATGGAGCGAGGCGGGATGGAGCGAGGCGGGATGGCGTGCAGGGGGGTGGTGTGTAGCACGCAGAGCCGGCGTCAGTCAGTGGCAGAGCAGTTTCAGCAGCAGGGGGAGAGCAGCCGTGCACATGCAGCGGACGAAGCCCTTTTGGAGGCTCTGCTGCAGGAGGGGCTTCGGCAGCAGCAGCAGCAGGGAGGAGCGAGGAGCAGGGTGCAGTGGGTGTTGTGGCCACGCGTTGGGTCGGAGAGTGCCCTTCCAGACGACGTGCTGCTGGGATTCAGCAGCGAGGATGCTGCCCTCACGAAACGTGCTGCTCTGTCTGCTCCTCCACCCATCCACCCACGTGCAGTGCTGCCAGCGCCAATGCCGTCCGAACTCGCTGCTCCGCCTAGTTCTGCTCTCTGCTTTCAAAATCCCATCGCTTGCTGCGGGGATTTTGCTCCCTGCTTTGGGGATTTCTTGTTGCAGTTAGTGGACTGGCCGCGCGTTGGGTCGGAGAGTGCCCTTCCAGACGACGTGCTGCTGGGACTCTGCTGCGAGGGCCCTGCCTTCTCGCAGTGCTCTGCTCCCTCGGCTCCTCCGCCCACCCCGTTGCCAGCGCCAGTGCCCTCCGTGCTTGCTGCTCCGCGTGGCTGCGCTCTCGGGAGCGATTGTGCGACTCGTGAGCTGGAATGCCTGGACGCATGCATTGACATGCTTGCCAACGGAAACAACACCAACGGCAACAGCAACGACAACGACAACGGCAACGACAGCAACGGCAACAGCGACGTGGCTCTCTTTCTCGACACGCCAGTGGCTCACATGCTGCTGGGTGGAAGTACCCTCACCATACACTGCGGGAGTGGGCCTCAGCAACAGGCGCTGGCAGCCTCTGGTGTTGCTGGGGCAGACCTGCCTGAGTGGACGCTGGAGCAAGGAGGAGACTAGGAGGGAGGTGATCAGCGGCACCAACACCGGCAGCTGAAGGGTTGTGAGCGTGGAGAATTTGAGCACGTTCGCTCGCACCAACAACAGCTGCAGCCGCTCTCCCATGTCAGAACATTATAGCTTATACATCTGTGTAGGCTATAGTGGGGTAGCCCATAAGGGGTACAATCTAATTAGGGTTAGTACTCGTACCCAACTGTTTCATAGTTCATTCATTCTCGTTCCAATTCTCACATGGTATAGAGCAGGTTCCCCCGTGGGAACTGTTCCTAGGGCCCACCGACCTTTTTTTTTTTCCTGCCCGGAGCGCGCTTGGCCCCTGCCCGAGTCGCGCCCCGTGTGACTCCCCTTCGTGGCCTCTAGCAGCCTCCCTCACGGCCCCTAGTGGCCCCGTCGCGCCGTCCTCACGGCCCCGTCGCGCCGCCCTTGCGGCCCTCTTCGCACCGCCCTCGCGGCCCCTTTCTGCGGCCCCGTCGCCGCCCTTTCAGCGGCCCCGTCGCCGCCCTTTCCGCGGCCCCGTCGCCGCCCTTTCAGCGGCCCCGTCGCCGCCCTTCCACGGCCTCGCCGCCCGCCCTTGCAGCGGCCCCGTCGCCTCCCTTCCGCGGCCCCGACGCCGCCCTTCCGCGGCCCCGTCGCCGCCCCTCCGCGGCCCCGACGCCGCCCTTCCACGGCCCCGTCGCCGCCCTCCAGCGGCCCCGTCGCCGCCCGTCCGCGGCCCCGTCGGTGCCCTTTCAGCGGCCCCGTTGCCGCCCTTTAGCCAGTACAAGAGTGCTCAGACCTTGTACGACGCTGTAGTTGCACACTACTCTTCCCCTGCCACTGCTGCACTTAGCCGCCTCATGCTACCGTACCTCTTCCAAGACCTCCCCCCCCTTTATGTACATCACCCTCTACTACATAGTCACCCGGCTCCCTGACTCCCTTCGCGTAGTCAGGGACCACTTTCTCTCAGTTTTCCCCACCACTCTCACCGTTGATCTCCTCGAGAAGGCCCTCATAGCAGCAGAGAAGAGTATAGTCGCTGTAGGAGCCTTTCGTGGTGACCCTCGCACCCCCGTCTTTGAGGGGTGTTCTCCCTCCCCCCTCTTGCCCTCTGTTGCTACGACCGACCTCGTTGGTTTCGAGTCGGTCGGCGCTGCGTCTGCCCCGAGAGGGAGACGCCGCATCGGCAAGAGCAAGGGGGGCAAGGGCGCTGGAGGGGCTGGCAAGGGCGGTGAAGGTGGTGGTGGAGGCAGTGGAGGGAGTGGGGGTGGTGGTGGGAGTGGTGCCGGGGGTGGCGGCGGCGGCGGCAGCAGTGGAGGCGGCGGAGGCGGCGGTGGTGGCGGAGGGAGCGGAGGCGGCGGAGGTGGCGGAGGAGGCGGAGGTGGAGGAGGCGGCGGAGGCGGCGGCGGCGGCTGCGGCGGTGGTGGAGCGGGTCGCGACTCTGCGCTGAGGAGAGGCTCAGGTGGTGGTCCGCGCCAGCAGCAGCTGAGTGGTGTGACCCTGTCCCCTCAGCAGCTTCGTGAGTGGTACACTGCGCGCCAGCGCGGTGGGGGTTTTGGTCCCTGCACTTACGTCCTCCGTACCGGTGACCGAGCTGGTGAGCAGTGCGGGGGCCCGCACTCCACCCAGCGCTGCTTCGGTCGCCTGACGGACGCGTGGCGTCGCCAATTCCCTGAGGCGTCAGAGATCCCTCGCTGGGGAGATCTGTCTAGGGCGGGGGTTGCCGTCTTTGATCTTGACTATGATGCTATCCTTGCTGCAATGTATTCTGTGACTACTAGTGTTGAGGGTGACTGTTACCTGTGTGTACCGCCTGACCCGGGCATTGAGGCCACTGCTCTAGGTGCTGGTGAGGCTGCTGCTCTAGGTGCTAGTGCGTCTGCTGCCCCAGGTGCCAGTGCGTCTGCTGTCCCAGGTGCGAGTGCGTCTGCTGCCCCAGGTGCTGGTGAGTCTGCTCTCTCAGGTACTACGTCGGCTCAGGCCTTCCACACCTTCACCCTTGACTCGGGTGCGTCCCGCTCCTTCTTTCGAGACCGCACCACTCTTACGCCGCTCAGTCGGCCGGTTGCAGTCTCCCTGACGGACCCATCTGGGGGTCCTGTCCTTGCTAGCTTCTCCACTGTCTTACCGTGCCCGGCAGCCCCCTCTAGCACCCTGTGAGGTCTCTACCTCCCCTCGTTCTCTACGATCTTGGTGAGTGGAGCAGACCTACAGCATAGGGAGGTTGACCAGTTCACTCCTGCGAGTCAGCGAGTGACCCACTGCACGTGTGCTCGGACAGGCCGACACTTGGCCACGTTCACCCGTCGGCCAGGGTCGAGCCTGTACACCCTTACTACTGAGTCTCCTCCGGCTGCTGAGTCTGGCCAGGTAGCTGCGTCGAGTCAGGTGTTTGCTGCAGCGTCCAGGTCGGGTCCTGAGTCTGCTCCCTGCTCGTGTCGTTTCCTGTCTCACCAGACTCTCCTCTGGCACCACCGCCTTGGTCACCCCTCCCTGCCTCGTCTTTGAGGCATGGCCTCCCGTGTCCTTGTCTCTGGTCTCCCTCGGTCTCTCCCTCCCCTACCTCCGGGGCCTTGCCCTACCTGCGTCCCCTGCGTTGAGGGGTGACAGCGCGCCGCCCCTCACTCCTCCGAGTTTCCTCCGACAGAGGCTCCGCTACAGACCCTCGACATGGACGTGTGGGGCCCCGCCCGCGTCCGTGGATAGGGGCACGAGCGTTACTTCCTGCTGGTGGTTGAGGACTACTCGCGTTACACCACAGTCTTCCCCTTGCGCAGCAAGGGTGACGTCACCGAGGTGTTGATCTACTGGATCCGCGCAGCTCGTCTCCAGCTCAGAGAGAGTTTCAGCTCGGACTTTCCTGCTCTTCGTCTGCACTCGGACAGAGGCGGGGAGTTTTCCTCTCCACGTCTGGGAGCCTTCTGTCGTGCACAGGGCATCCGCCAGATATTCACGCTTCCGCCCTCTCCACAGCAAAATGGGATTGCTGAGCGCCGCATTGGCATGGTCATGGACGTCGCTCATACGTCCATGATGCATGCGGCTGCCCCCCATTTTCTGTGGCCGTTTGCGGTTCAGTACGCCGCGCATCAGCTCTACCTTCAGCCCCGGGTCTCTTTGCTAGAGACCTCCCCCGCCTTACGGTGGACCGGGAAGGTTGGCGATGCGTCTGCGTTTTGGGTCTGGGGATCTCGGGCGTTTGTCCGCGACTTGTCTGCGGACAAGCTGTCCCCCCGTGCTGTTCCCTGCGTCTTCCTTGGCTTCCCCCCAGACGCGCCTGGGTGGCAGTTTTACCACCCCTCCTCGCGCAGTGTTCTGTCCTCCCAGGACGTCACCTTTGACGAGTCGGTGCCTTACTACCGTCTCTTCCCCTACCGCACTGCGCCCCTCCCCCGCCGCCGGTCTTCCTTGCACCAGGTCCTCCCCCGGTAGACCCCATCCCCCCTCAGGGTCCTGCCCCGTCAGGTGTGTCCCAGGTAGACGCAGTCGAGCCTGTCGAGGTAGCTGTTGACTCAGGTGCTGTTAGAGGTGCTGAGCCTGAGGGTGCCAGGTCTAGGGGTGCTGAGACTAGGGGTGCTGAGCCTGGTGGTGCGGAGTCTGGGGGTGCTGAGCCTGGGGATGCTGGGTCTGGGGGTGCGGAGCCTGGAGGTGCGGAGCCTGGGGGTGTCGAGCCTGGGGGCGCTGGGTCTACTCGTGTGGCCGCCGGCGGTGCTTCGTCGAGGCGGGAGCCACTCTCTCCACAGGAGCTGCGCGAGTGGTTTGCCCACCGCTGGAGACGCGCTGTTGAGACTGGGGGTGCTGCTGGGGCTACTGGAGTTGGTCCTGGAGGAGCTGCTGGCGGTACTAGTACTGCTGGAGCTGGAGCTGCTGGGGGTATTGGCGCTGGTTTTTCTACTGGCGCTGGTGCCTCTGGGGGTGCTGCTGAGGCTGCTGGAGCTGACAGATCTACTTGAGTTGGTGCTGTTGGAGCTGGAGCTGCTGGGGGTGTTGGCGCTGGCGGTGCTGCTGGCGCTGGTGCTTCTGAGGGTGCTGGAGTTGGCGCTGTTGGAGCTGGAGGTGCTGCTTACGCTGGTGCTGCCGCTTGAGGTACTTGTGCCATCCTTGCTGAATCTGGAGGGGCTGAGCGGCCGAGACCGTACTTTGTTCCGCTCCTGGAGCAGGTTCTTGGTCTCCCGCCCTCTTCTGGTCCTGCTCCTTCCTTAGAGTGTCCACAGCCTGTCCAGTCGCGGTCACAGTTACAGCCCGCCTCCCCTCTACCTGCTCCTTCTCCCTACACTGGTCCTACTGGAGGTCTTGCTGAGCGTCGTGTGCCTGCGTCTCGTCCTACGTCGCCTGTTCGTACTGCTCGCACTAGTGGTCGTACTGCGCGTCCGCGTCCTCCTTCGGTCCCCGGCACACACCAGATGGCGCTGCGTCCTTCCACTGCTCCTCTGCGTGTCCCATTGCTGTCTCCTCCAGAGTCCTCTCTTCTTGTTCTTGCTGACCCAGAGTCTGACTCCCTTCGTGCTGCTAGTCGTTTGGTCACGCGTCTCTTTGCTACTGTTGTCACAGACCCTTCTTTTGAGTCCACTGCTGTGTCTGCCCTAGTTGCTGAGCTTATCGACTTTGTTGCTCGCTGTCGTCTAGACTACGCTGCTAGTCTTGTTGTTGAGTCTGAGTCTGTCTGTCCTCCGTCCGTCGGGGGTGAGAGTGCTCTTAGCACGGACGTCCTTGAGGACAGGCAGGAGGAGTTCCAGTGCTTTGCTGCTGCTTTGCCCCATCTCGTGTCCACGCTGATTGCCCCTGAGGGAGACCCGGATGCACCAGACATCCCGACTCCTCGATCGTACGCTGAGGCGATCGAGGGTCCCTACTCCTCTCAGTGGCAGTCAGCCATGGACGCAGAGATGGCTTCCTTGAAGTTCATAGGCACCTACGTCGACGAGGTTCCCCCACCTGGGGCGAACATCGTCAGCGGCATGTGGATCTTCAGGGTGAAGCGGTCGCCGGGTTCTCCGCCTATCTTCAAGGCGCGTTAC